AGTCGTTGCCTTCCGGGCTCTGGTAAGCGGCAATGACCTCAACAAAGGCATCATTCGAGAGTCGAGAGGTTGAGTAAGCTCTCGAGATGTGAGAGTTAAGAGAAGTCGAATTGAATTGCGTGATGGCGTAGATTTTGGTGATGCCGCTGTTGATGCAGTTGCTGATAACGGAATCTATCAGACGATAATTTCCGGCTATAGGGATTGCGGCTTCTGAGCGCCTTTTTGTGAGAGGATAGAGTCTCGAATGGGGTGACGAGCCATCTCCGAAAATGATTGCCGCCACACTCTGATGCACTAATCGAACACATTTTACGTTCTTGGAAAGAATTTAAAATATTTTAGAATGTGATAAAAGAAAAAAAAAAATATAATGCAGGTTACTTCTGTCACCTGGTTTGCTGGAGGGAAAAGAGATTTTGAGTATTTAGTCTGGTGTAAATTTTTTACGGATAAATTTCGAGGTGGCGTGTAGTTAAATTCGGAGGACGGACGGTAATGTGAGCTTGGGAACTTAAATTTTGGATGCCATGAAGAAAGCATAGGCATGATCAGTAACAATTTGCACTTGATATATGTATTCTTTCTTCCTTTCTGGACTAAAAGGATGGAATGAGTATTTTTGGAAATTTTGGCTGATTTAGTTGTTTTTTTTCATTGTGCAGTAGAAAGAATTTAAGGAAGAGGCTAATAAGGGAATATTTAGATTTCTTCTTCTTCATGGATCAATGCTTAGTGTTTCTTCAACAGCTCTTTGTTTTGATACAAAACTTCAGTGGCTTTAAAGTTGAAATGACAACATGTTTGATTCATTTAAGGTACATCTTTTTGTCATTTATACAAAAACATGTCCTAAGCATTTCTCTACTTTTTTTCTTCCTTTATTCTCAGTGTAAAGATGCTTGTTGTTTCATGTGAACCTTTTGTCTTTATTTCCATCATCACTCCAATTGATAAGCCAAATATTTCATGCCCTCAAACATTAATGCTTGTCTATTACTTAATGTATATTTTTTTTTTTTTTTTTNTTTTCCAGTTTTACTATTAACTTAATAGTCCGTTTAAATAGGTGGTTACTAGACTCTCCTAGGGAAGATTAGTCATTTTTAATGTTGCAAGAAAGCTTAAATTCGTTTAGATGATCTTGGAAGGCTAGAATAGAGTGTGGATTAAGTTAAGCACAATTTAAGATACAGCTTTCATGCGTTATAAAATGGAAAAGTGGATGTATATATACTTGAAAGGCTCAGTGGCACAATTGGTCCCTGTAAACCAATTGAATCCCTTTCCTAGTAACTTTCTGAACTTGAAAGAAGAGAAGAATAAATACTATCTTCACATTTATTCCGAACCAAATCATCAGAGAAGGGTATAGGAATTTTCCAAGGGTGAATCAAACAGCATTCTTTTAGGAGTTTCAACGATGCTCTTAGCAGACTTTAAATATTTCAATGTCTAGTGAACTCTAATCAATATGCATTTATGCTATAACTAGAAAATGAAAGACCACAGATATTATTATTCCTGCTCTAAGTTGAAATATTAACTTAAGATTTGATTTATTCTATCTGTAAAAGAAAAACAAGTTGAGAGGAAAAATGGGAGTTTTCCATACCTAGAGAAGAAAATTGTACGTACAACCATTTTTGCGAATCCAACCAATTTTGGAGTAAACCTATGAGTGAAATAACAATTCAACACTTAAAACCCTAAACAAATTGAACTACACAAGATTTTGGAGTGAAAAAGAAATCAGAAAACTGAACAAGAGACAATTGCAGCTTGAAAATCTGCACCAATCACTGCAAGCCCAAACCTTTGTTACATGTATTTTAATCTTTTTCAAGTGGTTTTTTTTTCAGTTTTTCTATGTTGTTCATTTTGAAATAAATATTAAAATAACATTTGCCACTCTAACTCAATATCCTTCTCCAGCATGACTTTCCAAGTTTTAATTGGTCGGCTTCTCATGATCTGAGGTGGCAAACGGGAAAAAAGGTTTCTGAACATTTCTGGATATTATTGTTTTCTTAGTATCCAAGCTGTAAAGTTTATAGCCTTTACAACCTAAAGGATATCCAAGAAATATGCATTTAGATGTTCTAGGGGCAAAATTTGGTTCTATTAGCAGTGAGAGTAAAAGCATAACACATGCATCCAATAACTTTAAGATGATCATTAGTTGACAGTTTATCATATAACACCTCAAAAGGAGATTTATCATGCAAAACAAGTGTTATAATTCTATTTATTATATGTGCTGCAGCTAATATACAGTCAATCCAAAAGATTGTGGGCAAATGAGCATTAAAAAGTAAAGCTCTAACTACTTGAAGTAAATGTTGATGCTTCCTCTCTACTCTAGCATTCTGTTGAGGGGTTTCTACACAACTTCTTTGAAGGATTATTCCATTTGTAGCATAAAAGTCAGACATTAATAATCCAATGCCATTATCAGATCTAAGAATTTTGACTTTCTTATTAAACTGAGTGGCTACCATATTGTAGAACTTTTGAATGCAGAGTTTAGTGTCAGACTTATGCGATAAAGGATAGATCCGTGTAGTTCTACTATGATCATCTACAATTGTTAAAAAATAATTGTAACCATCATGGGATTTTGGGGTGAAGGGTCCTCATATATCACATTGTATAAGGTTAAAGCAACTAGAAGCAATAGATGTACTAACTAAAAAGCTTAACTTCTTTTGTTTTGCAAAGTGCCATATATGACATGATTTATAAGTCAAATTCTTGCAATCAGAAAAAGTAATAGGCAGTTGTGACATTCTTGAATAAGATAAGTGACCAAGTCTGTGATGCCATGTGATAGTGGTCCAATTACAAGAAGCGTTTGCAGTTACAGGTAAAGAGAAAGATACATTGGAAATGCTTGGAACAGAATGAGTAGGAAAATCCAACCGGCTTTGCAACTTTCATTTTGAATCTGCACAACACCTTTGGAAAAAGTAGATCCAATGTTCAGATGATAGAGACTAACTTTTAGTTCAGCAAAACCAATCATTTTCTAAGTTGTCAAATCCTGTAATATGCAACATGTTGATATGAAATGAACAACATAGTTATGAGAGGATACCAATTTTGAAACTGATATGAGATTGAAGTGAAAGCTAGGAACAAAGAGTACATTGTTCTAACTTCAGTTTGTCATTACGTATGATATCCTCTATGTGACATGTTTGTGTGTGTTGATCATTTGGAAAATTTATGTTAACATTCACAGAAGTAGGAGAACTGTCCAATATCTAAGTTTTTTTGTTTAACACATTGGCAGTTACACAGAAGTAGTAAGATATACTTGAAGCACTTAGCTGGTCTGAAATAGTTGAGGAAATCATAGGTGTGTGATGTAGTATCCATATTCTTTTTATATTCTAAAAACTCAGCAAAGAGATCCACAGTCATGGAATTAGTATTAAAAGATTGTTTAGTGGTGTTAGTATGCAGTATGTTTGCAAAGGGATGAAGAGGACCATTGGAATTAGGTATGGGTCTATGGCCTTTTGGTCCAACCCAGGGATAATCAATGATTTGGAAACATTTGTTAGCAATGTGACCATTGTAGCCATAGTGAGAGCATTTTGGTCTTTTCTTATCTTTGTGAAAGTAGGTTTATGGTGTTTGGGTTGAGAGGATGTAGTTTTCAGTTGTTAAATACGAGGCATTACTTTATCTTATGTATTTGCATTTATACTATATGATAAAGTCCTTAGATCATTATTAGCTATAATGCATGGTTACGCATTTGATGGTAATCATGGAACATGCTTTTAAAGCTATGATCTTAAATAAAGTTCCAATCGATGGGTATTTAGAGATGGGAAATCGAATTTTCATGATCCCAAAGGATGACACCGTGTCAAGCTTTGAAACAAGTGAAGGACATGAAGCGAGAAGAAAGAAAAGAGACATCTTGGAGAAGGAAAGTGGCATAATGGTGGAGAAAGATAAGGGTTTTGAGAGAGAGACGCAGAGTGAGTACAGAAAGTTGGAGAAGATGAAATGATAAAGTTTTAGGGTTTCAGATGGATATGTAAAGGGAAATTGGGTTTTAAATTGTAATGGGATGGGTTATTAATTAATCGTTTTGGGTTAGAGCTTTACTTGGCCCGACGTTAGTTGTTTAAGGTTTATTTTTATGTTTGGGCTATTTAGTAGTATAAGCCTGGTAAGAACAGTGAGGTCAAATTTGGAAAACACATGTAATAGTTAAGTAGGGCTTTTTCGTGGAAATGAGGAAGAAAATCAGTTACAACAAATTAATCTCCCCCTCTCTCTTCAATGTCTTTCTCTCTCTACCTCTCTTCTCACCTCTCTTCCTGAGTTCAATCATATACATTCCATACAATTTGCAACTAAATTACATAAATATAGTAGAAACCAGTACAATTGGTATCATCCTGACGATCCTACCATGGCAGAGAACACCCGCTTGAAAGAGCTGCATGAAAATAAAAAACGCATGGATCAAATTTTGCTCACAGAAACATTAAAAAGAGAAGCAACAGAGCTCAAATTACAAGATCAGATTGCTGGGGTTAGTGCAGACCTCAAGGAGAAAATGGGTAACTTGGATGAAAAGTATGACAACTTGGCCAACACGTTAGCTGCTATCCAACTGCAGCTTTTGAACTTGGACAAAGGTAAATCTCATGGTGAAGATAGCTCCATTTTGGGTCTTTTTCAATCAAGCAGGTTACCTGGAGGACAACAACAAGAAGTTTTTAAACAACCATCAAACTCCCAATCTGAAAGTTAAGAGCAACAAATTCATTTTGTAAATCCCCTGCCCAAAGTAGAGTTTCCAGGTTTGATGGAAGTAATCCTAGGAGTTGGATGGTGAAATGCAATGGGTTCTTCAGAATTATTCCCAACATACCAGATGAACAGAAAGTTACCCTTGCCTCGATGCATTTTGAAGGCAAGGCTGCCTAGTGGTTTCAAAATCTCTGCAATAAACTTCAAGGCATATCTTGGCCTCAATTCTTAGATATTGTGTCATCCAGGTTTGAAGAGATTAAAGAATCCAGGGTTATTGGGGAGTTCAATAAGCTGAAACACTCAGGGTCTTATGATGATTATGTTGAGAAGTTTGAGGAGCTAAGATCTTGTATGCTTATGATGAATACTGGGGACTTTTCTGAAGAATATTTTATTGCAAGCTTCCTAGTGGTTTGAGTGAAGAACTGCAGGCCTTTATTAACATGTTTGAGCAAAAAAATCTTCACCAAAAAATTGAATTGGGCAGGAAGCAACTGTGTACTACGGAAGCTATTGTGAGAAGAGCCAAATTAGCCTATCCCAAGCATAATCTGCCTGCACCAAATTCAGGCAGAAAAGGGGAGTTTATTACCAGCAACAAGGGCCATGTTCACCTGCCACCCTACAAACCACCCACTAAACTGTTGACAACAGCTGAGATGGCTGCCAGGAGAGAAAAAGGGTTATGCTATAACTGTGATGAGCCCTATGTGTTTGGTCATAGATGCAAGAACATAATTAATTACATGATGATGACTGAGGAAGAA